ATAGAGCGGTATCTGTTCCATTTAGTGCGATGGGGGATAGGTTGTTTGTTACTGTGGGTTGTGTTGGAGTGGTGGGATTTTGGGTATTTGATGTGGGCATAACTAACCAGTCTTGTAAGCGCAGTCTTTCTCTTTCAACTGTTCCTAGTTTCCCATTGCCTAGAATCAGGGAGATGAATTTATTAATGATCTCTTGTTTCTTATCTGGGGCATTTTGTAGGGATTGGAGTTTCGTGTATGTTCTGTTCCATTGTGCTTGTATTTCTGTTTCGAGTCTTTCGACCGTCTGTTTAATGGCTATGAGGGGGTTTTCAGGGGTATTACTAGAAACCTCGAAGGTTGCTGTGCATCTCCTTTTCCAGATAGCCCAGAGGGTCGATTTTCTGATGAGTGAGAAGAACAGACACTCAAAACCTTTGAGGGGTAAGTTTTGATCTACCTCTAGGAATAGGGTGCCAGGGTTGATGACGCTCCCCAGAATGGAAAAGGAGCCGGAACCCTAAGGTTCTGTTTAAAAAAAAAAAAAAAAAAAAGGGGTGCCAGGGTTGATCATGATGGTTTCAATGGAGTGTTTGTTCCAGGTTAATTCTATATCGTGCCAGAGTTGCTTTGTCTTTGGGCATTGGAAAAGTTAGGCTGCATTGGTATTCACTATTGTGTGCATTGGAAAAGGTAGGCTGCATTGGTATTCACTATTGTGTGCTGATCCAGCGGCCTAGCTCAGTTCATGAGGCACGCAAGTGGCATTCAGGAGGTCTTGGGTTCAATCCCCATTGGCCTCATGTACCTTCCTGGGCAAGGTTGGTGCCCGTGACCTAGAGATAGGCCACTGGATCCCTCGATCATCATCAAGCAGAGTCTGCTGATGTTCGTAGGGGAGGAGACCTGAGGGGAGGCACAGGGATTGGTCCTGTTGGCATGGTCCCAGATGCTATCGGCTGTCCCCTGGCCGGTATTGCCCACCTGCAGGTCGGGTGCAACTTCGGTGTTCTCTCGTGGACACGGTTGTGGCTGCTACGGGGTTTCCCGTATGACTATGATTAGGAGTAGTTGTAGGTAGGTAGTATGAGGTGAAATTGAGAGAAGAATGTAGCTTTCTTAAAATAAAAAAAACAAAAAACTATTGTGTGCTGAATTTCTACTGCTAAAGATTTAGAGAGCAACTACACCTATGTGGGCCTGGCTTACGATAAATGAGGATCCGTTTGACCCGATGGAAGAGACCAACCAGTAATGGAGCATATCTTTGCGGACTCCTCGCTCATGATAAACACAACCCTTTCCTGCTGAACGAAATTAATTGTTTTCGTTTCCCCCCCTCAATGAATCAGTCCCTTATAAACACAAACCTTTCCTGCTGAGCTCCTTGCTCCTTTCTATTCCAGGGAGTGGCAGCCCGGTTCCTCTCCACTGGTAAGTCATTCTGTTGAAGGAACAAAATTAATTATAACCAGATTCAGAGCATTGTAGACAACCCCTTTGTAAAAAATACTTATAAACAAGTCCATACTTCCTTGCGTGAAGGAACAACGAAATTAATTGTGATTGGGCCCGGTTCCCAGTTTGTGCCAACTTGTGAGGATATGGTTGTATCTATGGGACGCTGGACCCGGTTTCCAGCAGGTGTTGCTCCCCACCAATAGATGGAGCCTTGGATTTGAAAAAAAAAAAAAAAAAAAAAAAAAAGTTATTATATGTAATAATAATTAGTTACTAGTACTAATAAATGCAGTTTTTTATTTTTTGTTTTTAATTTCATGAAAAAATGTCAAGACATGGTCAGGACCATGGATGATGGGACGAGTACGCATACCTTCCCTGAACTGATAACTGGGTCACCTTGATTATTATATTCAGGAGGTACCTGGAAGAGTTGCAAAAGCCAACAACAAAAATAGACGCATTAACGTCAACTTCAAAAGCAGTCCACAGACTTCATTCAAATACAATTTCACTTTCGTGAAATGCTCGGAAAAAAAAAGTTCAGAGTTAAGATTCTTCAGAGACAAGGAAATGCAAAGTAAAATGACACCAGAGCAGAGAGAACTAAAACACAAGGAAGCAGTCAATAATAGACTCAATTGGGAATTCTTCAATTTTTTCATTCTTTCCTCCTTTTACTTTTTGCAAAAATCATCACTTTGCTTTTTCACGGCCGCAGTGCCAAAGGCTGTACAAAACGAGTCCAGCCAGGTCACCCCGTCCACCCCATCCACCCCACACCAGGCCCTGCAGAATTCATAAGTCATAATCACCCAGTATGACTGAGCCATGCTGCTGTGATCGTGAACAAATAGACACACAGGGATGTATATTGTAAGCAGAGAGACAAACAGACAGGCAAACAGATGGATGGATGGATGGATGGATGGATGGATGGATGGATGGAAGGATGGAAGGATGGGCCAGCGAGCAGACCAATGGACAAACTGACACTCAAAAGATTGATAGAAAGCTAGACGTCCACAGGCAGCGGGATGGGCAGGCAGGTGGGCAGCTGGGCTGATGGGCAGTGAACACAGACCCACTGAACAATTGGCGAATATACCAGCAGGCAGACTTGACCAATTGGCCAACAGATGGGCCGATTATAGATTCCCCAATCAATTGACCGAGGAACTTTGGACCAATGAAACAGTGGACAGAGGAATCAATTGACGTATGGACACAGAGAGCAACCAAGCAACCAAGCAACAAACTGGCGACCAGCTCCTTTTGCCAACCAACTGCTTGCCCAACTAACCGCCCATTCAACTGCCTGATAAGAGAGGATGAAAAGGGAAGGGGGAAGGTCCCAGGACTGATGGTTAGTAGCCCATGTGGTGGCGGACATTGGTTTAGGGTTCAGGGTTTAGGAAGGAAAAAGGGGGAACTGCTCACAAGCTACAGAGACAAGGACCAAAGGGTGCTAGGAACGAGGTCAGAATGCTGGCGGCCATGAGCTGGGCTGAATAGGCACCCGGGAGTCACTCTCATCCCCCTGTGATACGCATAACCTCAGGCCCTGCACAGCGTCCCGTACTGGTGGGAATATCGATCAGAGTAGGTGGGGTGTGGCTTAGGATTTTGGGCAGGGAAATTGAACTGCCAGGGCAAAACTGGGGTTCTCGTTCCAGTCCCAGGGTTACCTTCCAAGGCAAAAAAATTGAGGAGGGGCAAGAACAAAATTGAAGGGGAACAGCAAATGACATGCACTATTATCAAATTTGCCCTTTTGGGCAGGGGCAATCCCACAAAAAGACTCAACTTCGTTGAAATGAAAAAGAGACAACAAAAAGACTGAGCCTAGATTGCCTCAAAATTGGCTCCCCTTCGTGGGCGCCAAGGACACAAGAAATTGACTGGGCTCTGACAGGTTGGAGTTAATATCTGCATTCAGACTTTGAGCTGACGCCGTCGGATCTGTTAGTCTCCTCGCTATCGGATGGCAGAGGGCATGGAGGCACCAGGATGCGGCAGGAAGGACGCTCACGTAGTGGGTATGTTTCGGGAACCTAAGCCTTGGTACCCCAGCACCAATCGTTGCCACGAGCACGAGTTCCCAACCTTACACCAGTGGCAATTAAACTGGGGGTTCCATGTGGCATGCGTAGCCAACCAGGGGAGTACCATAAGATCAGTGTAGGGAAGGATTAGCTGGGGAGCATCAAATCAATCAATCACGACAAACCCTTCCCTACCGATATGACAGGCCTTTGACGGGTTATAGAAGTGAACCCGTCGGTCTGCAATAGCGACCTCCGAACATCCACATTACAGTAGACTCCGTCTTCGTCTGTGACTGAGAACTCCAGGAGGCTGCTATGGCGTATCAACATTAGGTTCGGACACGGGCAGTAACAAGCAAACCTCGCCTCCATACAACTCTAGTTCCACCCTCAGTTCCCTTGTCCAACACACGAACCAAAATTGTGAGAAAGTGATCAAGGACAAAGAGGGATAGACGACATCGCCGCAACGAGGAAAGGACACACATCATTTACTTCATCCATACATCGAACAATCAAGTGATCTGAGTCACCCTACATTCCTCATGCAACCGGAAGGCTGTAACGAGAAAGCCGCATTGAGACGTTCATTTGCACACTCAATATATAGAGAGTGCAACTAAGACACGTAGCCATTCATTCTCACACTCAATATAGAGAGCGAGCAACTAAGACACGTCACACGGAAAACACTCAATGCACTCATGCACTAAGGCAGACGGCTGAGATCCACGTAGCCTTATTGACGCATGCAAGTGAAAGAGTGTAACGAGAGTGCCAACAGTCAACAACCATCATTTCACACTTAGCATTCGCATCATACATCATCCGACTTTCGGACAACGAAGCAGCCATGCATCCGTTCGACACTCACTACCAAGGTCATGCACGTGACTTAGTACACACACTTAGTCTTCAGCACACATGGACACTCGGACAAGCAGAGATGGAGAAAAGCAAAAGTCCCTCGCAACTTTTCTTCAAAAAAACATTAATGCCTGCACTTCAGATGTGCAGCCACCATGTCCAACCTCAAGGCGTGCACCAGCCTAGCCACAAGGCCCTGGCCCTGGCCGCACCTTTGTCACCACCACCGCTCAGTCTCCCCGACTACCATTTACCGACTCTATCGCTAAGCTTACCCCACACAGTCACTCCACCTGTCCTCGGGCATGTCGACCCTGTTTGGCGCCGCAGCCTTCACTCATAGCTCACGCAGCATTGCAGCCGAGATGAAAGACTGAAGGGAACTGCACAAATTTATAGCGAAGAGGTGGTGGGGTGTCTGCTTGAAACGCGGGGGAGCAAGCAGAGAGAGACAGGGAGAGGAGATGAACGGGTCGGCGAGGGAGAGGGAAACTTCTAGAAAGGCGGGGACAACGAAGAAGTTGGGATGATCGAAAATTTTGCACAATCGAGGTGGTCGTTCATGCGGCGCACGTAAGTCCGCTCTTACGGCTTGATCCGACCAGCTCGATTGGCGAAACAGCAAGCAAGAAGAGAAGTTGGCGCTTGTGCAAAAGCAGGAGGCTGGCTTGCGTAGTCTTGCAAGAACTCAAAAATGGGTCTGTGCAGTGTGCACACATATGCTCAGAACAAAATTAAAGTGCATGTGAAAAAGACAAGGACTTCCGAAAATGCATGTGATTACATTAGAATTTTTTTTGAACCCGACCTCTTCTGTCCCTTTACCCATCCAGGTCCGTGCTTGTGGCTTACTCCAGGGTTTAATCTGAAGGGTATGTGAAGCCACATAGTATGGAACTTGGCTTATCACACCCCGCTCAGTAAATCCCCCGATTTCAGGGGTAATCAATGCTGGCAGGCACAGAATCATTATCTTGAATCATGCAAGCTGGCTGTACTGGGACCTCGGAGGCGATTTCCAGCAGGTGATGCTCGCCACCAACGGAATGGACCAACTAATGACCCTACTAGGGGAGGCTGCTTGTACCACCTTTCTAGGAGGTGGACCTGGTTTTAAATCAAGAAAATTGAGCGCAATCTTGTTACGGGCTAGCCCCTTTTGAAAAACAAGGTTGAAGTTCTATTGCAAGGCAACAAGAGGAGAACCTAGGAAGGGCATGAAAGGTTTCTGTGTCTTGGAAAACCAAATCACCTACCACCACCTCGTTCAATTGTGTATGCTTTCCCTCCACTGAGTCCTTGCTGCCAGGTTCTGCCCAAAAAGAGAGACCAGAAAAAAAAAAAAAAAAACACAAGCAGGAGAGAGGAAAGAAGGCGCGGAATCCATTCAATAGCATCAGTTATTTTCAGGCGTAGATTCAGTACATCTTCTTTCTTTTTTTCTCTTTTATGGAAAAGGGCGATAGCCGCTAACGATGCTGTATCTGTGTCAGGGTGTCTCCGCACAGCACACGAAACCAAAAACAAAACGAGTGCATGTTCCCACAGAAAATGGACAGGTTCATCAGTTTGTAAGGACCTGCCAAACACGGACTGAGACACGCAGCTGATTTCTGAGTTTTGCCAATGGAATCTATAACTTGCTGAGTTTCCCACTTGTTGCTGAGTTTTCTAAGTCTGTCTGTGTGTGTGCTTGCTGGTCGGCGTGCCTGTCTGAGTGCTTGTCGGCTTGAGTGTGTATGTCACCCACAGGGGTACTTGTTCGTTTGGGAGGCCCGAAGGGCTGGTACTTACCTGTGGCCGTGACTTTGAGGGTTGCAGCGGGGAAAACACTCTCAAGTGTCGGGAGTAGCCCCATGGCACTTAGAGCACGGGAAAAACACTCAAGTAGCAGGTAGGCCCGTACCACACCAAGTAGTGGTAGATGGGCCAGGTACTCAAGTCTGAGCAGAAGAAGACAAAAGTTGGCATTTTTAGAGGCCCAGTAGTTGTAGGCTAGGTCTAGGCGGGTACCAGCCCAAGTATTCTGAGTCTAGGGCCTGTATGCGCAATATCAGAGCCTGCAATGATGTTTCCCTCTGAAAGGGAGGAGGTATCGGTTGCTTGGAGGCCGCGCGGCCTGGAAGTCACCGCCCAAGTGGCAAGTAGGCCGCTATATCTCCAGGAGGAGCGAAGTGCTCCTCCTCGTTTGCTGCGTGCAAGTTTGGCGACACACTGCGGGCACGCTGGCTGGAGAAGCGCTGGTTGGAGCAACGCTGTGGGGAAGACGGGTGCCCAGCTCCCCACCTTGGCTATGGTGGAGGAGCTCGGGCTGGAGGAGGAGGAAGAAGGGACTAGGAGAGGGGAGCACTAGGGGTACTTATCTGGCTATGGTGGACGCCATCTTCATCACCTTGGTGGGTGCTGCATCTGGAAAAACCCCATTGGGGTAGAGCGACATCAAGAAGCTTTGAGGCAGAGTCGGGCATGGCGGCCTGAGCAGGAGCAGCCGCACCTGCTTTGAGTTGACTTTTGCACGTCAGGCCAAGGCCCTAGTAGTCCGCCATAGCCTCGGCCTTCATGAAGAGGAAGGAGAAGGGTGCCCATTGCTATGGTGGACCTCATGTTGTGCCTGCAGTAGAAAAGGGATTCGGACATTGATTCTGGTTCGGCCATCCATCATTATTATTATTATCTATTGTTTGAATAAGAGGGGAGGAGAAAAGAACGAGGAGTTTGGTTGGCGAGAAGAAGGGGAATTATCCTTGGTCTTTGGTGGTGTACATCTTCTTCTTCTTCTTCTTCTTCTTTCCCTCTCTCTCCTCTCAAGTTCATTCATTTCTTTTTGCAATTGGACGGCATTGTGCTTTCTCGTGAATTTGTACTTCGAAATTGCCCAGGATCGTAACAGGTTCGCTATAAATAGTAACGAGCGTATTTTGCCACCTTTCGCGGGCAGATGCACTCGTTTCATTTTCCTTTAGGTGTGCCGTGCGGCGAGGCCCTCAGGATAGGTGTGAAGTAGAACCAGTACATCCGGTCCAATGCCCTGTAATCTTCACCTGAGTATAACACCAGGCCATAAAACTGTATTTGGGGCAACTGTCAGCCTAGATACAGCAGCAGGGGGCGTTCTATTCGGGGGAAGCCGTTAGTAGACCCGCAGCCGAATTCTGAACAGCCCTTCAAAAAGGATTCTTCAAGCCTGAAGCCTCTGAGTCAATCACAGAACAAATGCACATGACGAAGCTTGGGCCCTTTTGCTTATATCCTGATTCCTGACAGTACTTTTGCTTATATCCTGATTCCTGACAGTACTTTTGCTTATATCCTGATTCCTGACAAATGCACAGAACAAATGCTCTCTCCCTTTTGCTTATATCCTGATTCCTGACAGTACTTTTCATCGCTTGGCTTGCACTCTTTGATTTTCTGTCATGTCTGATTAGCAGTGTCCGCTGACCAAATTAAAAAAAAAAAAAAAAAAAAAAAAAAAAAGTGTCCACCACCTCACTTCACTAACCCTATACAGTCTAGCCTTCAGTGCGCACTCTCAGAGGATTTCCCGCGCATTCGACCATTGATGAGTATAAGGCCTAGCATAGTAACTGTGGAGCTAAGTAACAAAAAAGCAGCTCAACCCACCAGTACATCTGAGGCACTTTTTTCCCGGGCTGGAAACGGCCTGCACGCCAAAAAAGAAATGTACCGGTGAAGGACGAGCCCAGGAAGTTGCGGCTGTGCACGTGCCGCATATTTGATCTCTTAGTGGGGAAACATACTGGTGGTTGAAGCACAAAAGATGACCACACGACAGGATCAAGCACAAAAGGATGAGCAACCCATAGGGAACTACCAACTCCAGAGTGTAAGTGCCTGGTGGCTGAATGGCAGGGTTATGATGTGATGGGGTCTGGAGCAGGCTGAATGGCAGGGTTATGATGTGATGGGGACTGGCCTAGACATAAGGACAGAAGGACGGACGAAGGAAAGTTGGACAGAAAGATGGACAGACCAGGAAGGTGGGCAGGCAGGCGGGCAGCCAAACGGTTGGATGGAAGGTGGGCAAACAGGCTGACTACCGACAGACAGGCATGCGGGTGGGTGGGCGGACGACCATGAGGGTGGGTGGGCGGACGGATGGACAGATGGATAAACAGTCATACAGACAACTGGACGGATGGACGGACAGACAGACAGATGGACAAATGAATGGATGGATGTATACACGGACGGACAAACGGAGAATTGGTATAAAAATACTATAAATGGATAGCATTTTATCTTAGGTCCAGAGAATCTCGAGTCTGTCTGAACAGATCCGAGCGAGAGTCAGAAAAAGAGAAATCCAGCACTGCCAGAGGCAGCAGAACATGTGTCACAGCAACAGAAAGAAAAAGCAGGGGGCCATGGGGAGGCCAACTCCGAACATACATGGTTTTTGAAACTCACTTCCTTGACTCTTTCTCGCGGCAGCAATCTCTGACTGGTCTGCATAAGACACAACCTACGAGGCAGCACCACCAATTTCCAAATAAAAAGTAGACAGAGCGCTATTAGAACTCAGAACGGTTTCAAATCTTCCTGAACACAAGGCTTTAGGGCCAGTTCCTGCTCGTGCTAGATTTATTTGCTATGTCGGGCTACAGCCATACTTACAACCAAGTTCATACCCACAAGCATTGGACCTGTTGGGCCTGTCGGCCCTGTCCCTTATGCTGCTCAAGTACAACCAAGGAGTCCAGGGTTTAGGCCCTTTTCGCCATGTTCCGCAGACAGATTTGAGTTATTTGACTCCAGTAGCATGGCAAAGCCCTTGACTACTGGTAGCATGGCAAAGCCCTTGACTACCCGTAGCAAAGAGGTTTGGATAACGAGGATGTAGTGAAAACGGAGAAACAGTTGGTGGACCTCTCTGGGAAGCTGGGCACAGCTGGGGAGTGACAGTCAATTGGTCACAGCCTAGTTTAGTCCTGTAAATGATTACGTGAGTGTTGACGTCGGCCAACACCGTCGGAGATAAAACTCTGCCATTTCGTCAAAATGGACACTTTTTAGTTTTTGAACGAAATTGAAACTGAGTTTTTTGGCTGAAAACTCATCTAAATTTGCTGCTCTTGAGGGTCCAGCGTTTTTAAAACGCTGGACCCCCTGGATGTATGTGGACCAAGCTTGAGACCAGATACATCCAGGCGGTCCCCCCCTGGATGTATCTGGTCTCAAGCTAAGTCCACAACATCCAGGGGGTCCAGCGTTTAAAAAATGCAGGACCCTCAGGAGCAGCAAATTTGGACGAGTTTTCGGCCCAAAAACTCGGTTTCAATTTCGTCCAAAAAAAAAAGAATGTCCGCCTTTGGAAAGTCAAAGTGTGATTGGACCAGTGGGTGGGTGGTTGGGTGGGGGGCGCAGCGCGACCGGGAGCGCTGCGCCCCCACTGGAGCAGTTTCGGAGACGAAGCAGCGCGACACGGGATCTACCGGAGAGCCAGGCGACGCAGTGGGCGAAGACGCAAGGACGCGAGAAGGGCACGTAAGGGAGAGCTGGCGACGAGGTGAACGGTGGGATATGGTGGCGCGCGGTTGGAGATGGGATGTGTTGGGTAGTGATGGGGAACAACCACGGGTGGTAAGGTAGGGGGGAGGAGGGTGGTCCATAAGGGCAGGGGGGTGTGGAGTCGCCGGACCAGGTTAGGACTTGTCGTCCTCGTTTTTTGTAAACCCTTCCCTCTTCCTCAACAGTATGGTATGGGTATAGTTAAGGTGGTTTTGAACCCCCTGTGGCGACTCGTCAACAGGTTTGGTGAGGGGGTGCCACATTGTTTTCGATTTCCTTCGGGGGATTGAAGATGGTCGTTCGTGTCTTTGGTGTTAGCTTTGTTTTGAGCCTAGATGCTAGCAGTGGGAGGAAGGGAGTTCTTCCTTCCCCAAAGATGCAGGGGTAGGGTTTGAGGGGTGTGAGGTAAGTGGCTTGGTTGAGGAAGAAGGGATGGGAGGCTGTTTTTATTGGATTAGGATTCTGCCCACGCGTGGCTTGGCCGTGGCTTGGCTTGAAACGGTTTTCACCTTTTAGCAGTAGCGGATGCAGTACCCAGGGTTCGATCCCTAGACCTCACCCTACCCATGTACAGTATCTATGTAGGCCCCGCGAGTTGAACCTGTGACCTGTGTATTCGTAGATAGTTGGTAGGTCTGTCGTAGGTCCATCGGCAGCAGGGGTTCGATCTGAAGGTTTATAGCGTAGAAGTCTTAGTGAGTTCCGGAAGCTTAGCTGTAGACCTTCTAGAAGGTAGGCAAGTGGGCAAGTGGTCAAGTGGCGAGGCAAGTGGTGGACTAAACTGCAGTGCAATAGCAGTACGACGTCGGTAGGATAGCGGTGAGTCCACAGTCAGTCAGCGGAAGGTCCAGTCAGTCCCAGTCCGGTCCAGCAAGTACCACGGGGGGACTGTGAGCACCATGGGCCGATGGCAAAGGGCAGACCAACGAGTTTCTGAAGTATAAATCAAGAGGCAGCGCCCAGCCTTTCATTCATTCCTGCATGAGCCATGCGGAAGCGCTGCCCCAGCGACTTGTGCAAGGAGGTCTGCAGATGGGCCCGGAGGACGCAGTGGGCGAGAGAGGAGTTAGCATAGCGATAGGTTAGAGGCGGCCATAGCTGCCATAGCTGTAGTAGTGGGAAGAGTGTGTGTGCATGTGTGAGTGTGCAGAGTGACGTGTGTGGGATATCCAGGGTGATCCAGTGTGTGAACAGTAGTTGTTTGGGCGCTTAGTCGCCATAGCCAGTTGACAGTAAACTCGTATCTGGAAGCCATATTTCTGAGTTCTGTGTGGGCGCATGTCGCCAGTGTGCTGTGCTGCTGTTTACACACATGAAAAGTGTGAATAAGACGAGTCTGATTGCAGGCTGTCTTATAATTTGAAATCTACTAATAATGTTCTGATAACCAAGCTTTTCATCCTGATGTTGACTTTTCGTTGATGATTTCAATTCATGATTCTTGATTTTTCTTGATACTCCCTTAACGATGATCTTAACCACGATCAAGATTACCCTTTTGATTTTATATATTCGTGAGTCCAATATTGGACATTTCAGAATAGATTCCTAATCTTGTTTCTAAATTCCAGTTTCAAAAGTTGTCTCAGATAGATTTCCTAATCTTGTTTCTAATTTTCAATTTTTTTTTTGTTTTTTAAGGCAGTCCATGTATACGAACATGCTACCACAACGTTGTGCATTGTACAGGGAGCGATAATACATGAAGTTTTCCCAAAAAAAATAAAAAAGATCATAAAAAAAAAAAATTAAAAAAAAAACAAGGGCTCGGCGGACAGTGCGTGGGTCAGGGGTTACCGTCCCCGACTATCGCTCCCCGCCCTGACCTTGTAAGACAGGTGCTATCTCAGGGTCGGTGCTATCCCAAGTACTCTTCCAACGATCGGGCACGTGGGGGAAAAAAGTTGGGAAAGTCCTCTGCTGGTCTCATTGGCAGGCTGGGGTTAACTGCAGTCCATTCCTTGTAGATGAGCCGGTAGTCTTGGTTTCCGCCCACGACCATCCATCCTTCCTATCCCCTGACCATCTCACTTGTGCCACCCATCCTCTCCAGTCGCCCCCCAGCCAATCCCGACAGAAATGGGTTATTCATGTACCATTATCTTTGGGGTTGTGTAGCGGATCCAGGGCCTGCTTCGTATTCTGCCGCCGCTGTGTTACCGCCGTGTTAGCTCAAGCTGGACGAGGTTCTTAACCTGTTCCACCCTCTCTTCTCCCTCCACCCTGGTGCCTCCATAGCTAGTACACAGCGCTGTCACCATAAGGCCAGAGAATCACCCATCTTTCCAGTTGAAAGATATTTTCCACAACCCACCCCTACTGAGTCTCCGGGTGGTGTCTGGCCACGATCGCCCTCTAGTCCCGTGGCCACAGTGAATCTGGGAGTGAATCTGGGACCATCTGCCATCAGATTCTGTCCCACCATCTCCATGTCAGGACAGAGGCTGGACATTGCAGGAATATGTGCTCGATCATCTCCACTCTCTTTCGTGTTGGGAAGCCCTGTAGGCAACGCTGACACCATGGTACTAGAGACCTCCCCTGGTGGTCCAGCTGAGTGTGATCAATTAGGCAGTCGATGGTGGGGGGGCAGCTGTTATGAACATGATTGTCCGTTGAAATTTTGTCAACGCTCACTCACAGGATCTTCCGTACACGCCCATACATGGACAGAAGGAAGGGGAGAGGTAGTGGAGTGTCACACCGCCCAACAAAAGGAACGCAGCGGAAGACTCAGAAGAGCGAAGTGACAGAATACACAACACAGTGGATTCTCTCCACAGAAGTCCCAACAATCATTCATAGAAGACAACCGAGAGATCACAGCCAGAAATCAATGAAGAGATGACAACACGAACACAGTCTTACAATTGTTTATTAAACTCAGAGCATCGTTTTCACTGAAGAACCTCAGAAACCTGTTGCGCTACCCTCAGAGGGGTGGCGCCTCAACCCCACACACACCGAATAGCTAAAAATAGCACCAGAACCCCAGGTAACACCCAGCGCCACCCCGACATCCAACTCAGTGGCCTGCACCAACATGAAACAGGCTCCCAGAACCAATCACCACTCAGATGATGAGGAAGAAGCTCAGCACCAACAGTATCTGATGAAGATGAAGTCCAGACGATGATAATCTATGAGAAGATGCAGCTATGGCTGCATCGCCACTGGGACCCCACTCCTGAGGAGGGTCAGCAGTGCACCACGTGCGCCAACGCATCAGACCTCTGATAGCCCAGACCGCTTTGACTCCCAGAGAATCAGAGCGGACAGCGTTGACCCCAGTCTGGTCAGCGCTCCGAAGGTCTGGCTATGTCCCTCGTCTCCCACGCATGTATCAGTCACCACAACCTGATGCTGCGTGCGCAGCAACTTCTACCACGAAGTGTCAACTGCCAAAAGCCCCGGACCGATGTTCCCATCCTATCTATACTCTACCCTAGCCTAGACTCAACCTAGACCGGACTGACTGACCGACCTGTACCGTTTCTGTTTCGGCCCTTAGGGCCTCTCCCTACCCGGCTATAGGCTATAGGACCGTCTATCAGCGAAGGCCCATTGGGCCTGTCTGTCCTAGGGGTAGCCCAAGTCTGCTATTCGCAGTTAGGGAAGCTGTAGGAAATTCGAGTTAGTACTGGGCCCATATTTCCTATATTTACAAATATGTCCCTCATGAATTTTCCTTACAGGTAGGTCTCTCGGATGAGGCTATACCATAGGCAGGGACAGATTCATAATTTTGTTTGGCTGAGGGCTAACCGAGAGACCTACCTGTAAGGAAAATTTGTGAGGGACATATTTGTAAATATAGGAAATATGGGCCCAGTACTAACTCGAATTTCCAGTAGGCAAAAAAAACACTTGTCGGCAGGTCCATCCCTGCCGCAGTGCGAAAAGGCAAAAATAACATTGGGCGTCGTTTCAGACATCAGACCTGATTGAAATATGCACTTTTGTCATTTTCTGGAGCTAATTTTTTCTTTTTTTTTTTCACGCATGGCCTAGACATCTCGGCCATAGTCTAGACATCTTGGCCATGGCCTAGACATCTCAGCCATGGCCCAGCCTGGCTGTAGCTAGACATCTCGGCAGAGGGCTCAAGGGAAAAAAAAGAAAAGCCGCCCAAGGCCGTGACCGTAGGATCGCCAGATCATGCGGCCGAAAATGGCTGCACCGAAATGAGCTTGGCCCCTGCACAAATATGACAGGCATAAATCGAGAAAGGGTCCTAACTTTTAGTTTCCGTTTCCCTTTGATTCGATGGAATAGGACTCCAGCTGTGAGTGCCCGTGAAGGCACTAGGAATGAGAAACCAACGGACAGGAGAAAAAAGGAAAAAAAGGGAGATGGAGATTAAAAAGGGCGCCAGGTGGCACTTACTTGAGAAGCTGGGAGCTGCAGCTCCCAGAGTTCCTGACAGACGCCCTTTTCTACGGGCAGCCTGTAACTGTTTTTTTTTTTTTTTTTTTTTTTTTTTTTTAATTTTAAAACCAATTCAATTACCTGTCAAATCTGGACAGGACGGCCTTTCGGGCCTTTTTCTTTGTCATTTAGTATTACGGGGAACCCCGTAGCAGCCACATCCGTGCTCAAGCCTCCAACGAGGGAGCATGCGGGGAGCTGCACTCACCAGCAGGTGCAATATCTGCTACAGCAGGTGGGCGATACCGGCCAGGGGTCAGCCAGTAGCATCAGGACCGAGCTTCTTCGATGGGCCAGTCACTGTGCCTCCCCTCCGGTCCCCTCCCCCTATGAACATCAGCAGTCTCTGCTCAATGCCACTCGGGGGACCAACGGCATATCTCTAGGTGGCGGGCGCCAAGCTTGCCCAGGAAGGTGCATGAGGCCAATGGGGATTGAACCCAAGACCTCCTGAATGCCACTTGCTTGCCTTACCAACTGAGCTAGGCCGCTGGATCCCTGTAACTGTTTTAGGTGTATTCTTCTTTTTTTTCTTTTTCCCTCCCGTTTCTTTTCCTTTTCTTCTTTAGTTGTTAGATTCCCTCCCCCCGTGCTAAAGAGGAGAGAGCTCCCCTATGGCTGTGGCTCCATGTGGTGCTGTATCTCACCATGTTCCAGAGGAAGATTCATCTGGTGAATGCAACTTCTTAGGACTTGGCCCTACCACGTGCTACTGTGGCCCCTTCCAGTTGCAACTACGAACTTCTTTCTTTTTTGGGGCAAGTGCGTTTGTGTCACAAATGAAGTTCAAAAGGGCAAAAAAAACAATAATGGGCAACGGAAAAAAGGCCGTAGTTCGAAAAGGCAGTCGTAACATCAGAAGGCGGTAACATCAGGCCCCGAGTTTGAAAAGGGCGGTTGTAGCACACTTTCCATTTTTCTTTTTTTCTTTTTTTAATTTTTTTTTTCGTGGCCGTGGCCAATCTGGGGTGTGGCCGAGACATGTCTGCCGTGGCCAATTTGGGGTGTGGCCGAGACATCTCGGCCATGGTCCAACCATGGGGCCTTTTTTTTTTTTTTTTTTTTTTTTTTTTTTTTTTTTTTTTTTTTTTTTTTTTTTTTTTTTTTTTTTTTTTGGGGCGGGGGGGGGGGGGGGGGGGAAAAAAAAAAAAAAAAAAAAAAAAAAAAACCGCGGCATGACGCGTGATGCGCGATCGAAGGGAAAAAAAAAAAAAGGTGCTACAACCGCCCTTTTCAAACTCGGGGCCTGATGTTACCGCCTTCTGATGTTATGACTGCCTTTTCGAACTGCGGCCCGTTGCCCATTAGTGTTTTTTTTGCCTTCACAGTTTGAAAGTGTGCTACTACCGCACTTGTTTCTTCTTTTTTTTTTTTGTCTGTTCTTTCTACACTCTTCTCTCAACTTCTGTTTCTTTACCTTCCATTACCTACTCCTAAGACGATCTAGAGGGGACCCCTGCAAGCATAGTTTTCCTCTCTCTGTGAACGGGAGATTTCATGTTGCCCCTTGCCCCTAATGGTTAGGGTATAGGGTTGGGGCCGCCAGTTGGGGGTCTGGCTAACACAAAGACCGAGACCTGCCAGTAGCTGCGCCTCCCTTTCTCATCGTCCCCAACCCTTCATCGAGTAGCAGCGGAGGCTATGGCCAACACTCTCCCACACACCACACACAACCCACTCGCACCACACCCACACCCGTGTTGGTCATAGACCCCGCTATGACCGATCAGGGGTATCCAGAGGACTATCACAGTCCGTTGGCACTAAGTGCGCCGCAGGCGGCCATGGGGCTTGAACCCACAACCTCCTGAATGCCACTTGCATGCCTAACCAACTGAGCTAGGCCGCTGGATACGAACCTCTTTCTACGCCTGCTCACACCAGGGAGAGAAAAAGAAAAAGAAAAAGAAAAAGAAAAAGAAAAAGAAATTTGCCGAATACTAACTGAGGCCCTCATACGCCTGCCAGGTAATGTCTTTTTTGCCTTTTGGAACTCCGACGATGTCAATTTCGCGACGCCGTGTTTTTCTTGCCATTCTGAACTAAAAAGGTGACCCACGAGCAGTCCCCCTCCCCCTTCCCCCCCCCAAAAAAAAAAAAAAAGTGCAGCCAGGCCCTATGTCACATTCATCATACACCCTTCAACTATGGGCAGATACAGAGCAGCCCAAATACTTTGAATTGAAGTCCCCTCTCAAGACTGCCGATGCACTCCCACCGTTGCTGCATGCTCCCACTGCCCACAGCAGCGCCGCCGCGATAGTTCTGTGAGTGTACAGAACCAAAACCACAGCCAGATACTCTTCATTGTCTAGACCAGGTCTGATGAGTCAGGATGTTCCCTTGGAGTTGTAGACAGCACTCCCACGGCCAACACAACACTCCCACTGCTTGTGCTGACACTGCTGCTATCCTTCACATAGTCCTTTGAGCACGGAGTGATAGTGTAGTTGGTGTAATTGGTAAAATGATGGATCCCGTTCGTCCAGGGCTGCCAGGATGCCATAGTCCCTGAGCACGAAAGGCGCTCTCTCCCCCAATCAAGGAGGAGGTGGGGCTATGGCTCTTTTCTCCGGGCATCAACCATAGCCCCGACACCTAGCAGGGTAGGCGAGGTAGTGAAAGCATAGCGTGGATTTTGCGCGGCACCTCTCCTTACTCAGCCACAGACCGGACGCAGCCGCCAGCCGAAGCCGGCCGCATAGCGCAGAATTAGCCCTACCGCGCTACCTGTCCGCACCCCCCCCTCTGACAGCTCCGTACTCCATACTCACACCAGGATTTCCCCTTTCAAGACTCTGATTTTTGTTCCATCATCTTTCAAGGACGGCCCCTTTAACCCCTTCCTCCTCCCTCCCCCCTCCCCCCCCCCCAAAAAAAAAAGAAAAAAAGCAGGCCATGTGTAAATTGCTGGTTAGTCTACACTACCCCTGACTGACCGTCAGGTCCCCCATACG